TCCACGACAAACCTCACAGGGCATGGGCCATCTCTTATTTATGTTCTACAGTGATGAAAACTGCCATTTTCTATCTCAGAACAAACAGAACCTTGACTCGTTTCTGAAATTCGTATGTTCTGTCTACAGATCTTTAGTGAGCATCTATTACATGCCAGAGACCTTTGCTGGGTATTGGGTGCAGTGAACAAAATAAAACAAGTTCTCATGAAATTAGTTTTCTATGTAGCTGACGTCATGTATGTATTGTATACTCCTCTCGGAAGTTGGACTGACACCAGTTCTGAAGTAACTCTTTGAGCCAGGCTTGGAGGGAAATTTTTTAATGCCTGCAAAGAGTGCTGACTTTCTGGATGAGGGGGTGGGGGGTGGGCAGAGGACAGGAAGTTAGAAAGATAGAGGCTTGTTCATGGAAAGCCTTGCAGGATAAGATAAGGAGTTTGAACTTTATTATTAAGTGCCTTCGAGACTCTGTATAGGTTTTCCCCTAATAAAAGTAATTTTTGCAGGCTATTTTCCAAAGGTGGGGAGCTAGATCATTGGAAAGGGAGTAAAAATTATTTTTAAAAATGTAGTGGTAAAAATGAAAAGGGAAACCAACATACAGTGGGAGTCTTGAGGACATGAAACTTTTTCTGTAGGGTGGGAAAACTCAAAGGCTGAAGGGAAAAGAGAAGGGTAAAAGGGAGTTTAGGAGATATTCTTGAACCAAGCTCCCTGCAAGAGCAGTGGTTCTGTGGGTAAATATTGCCTGGGCCTGGGCTGGGAACTGTGATGGCTCTGCTGGGGTCCGTGGCCTGCTGAGGGGAACAGACAAGGCATAAGAACTCCATGCTGTAGGTAAGTGTTATGCAGTGTTGGGATGGATGAGAGTTTCCACTTAGCAGGTTCTTGTTATTAACCTGGGAATTAGTGCACTGAACTGGTTGTGAAGGATGAAGCCAATCAGGTAAAGACACAAAAAGGGAAATGATACAAACTGGAGAAATACTTAACTACAAGGCAGAGTGACTGATTAGCTATGAAGGATGAGGAAGAGTTGAGAACAAATCCCAAATTTCCCGAATGGACAAAGGCATTTCCTGAGTGAGTCCTCTGCAACACCTATATTATCTCATTTAATCCTTACAGGAATCCAGTGTAATGCTTGCAATAATGATATGCAAGTGGAAGCAAGGTAATTCCCCCCAAGTCTTCACCAGTGGTAAACAGAAAAGTCAAGTTTTGAGCTCAGCTTATGTAGGATGGATGTTGTTATTGTTAAGTACTATCAAGTTGATGCCCTCTCATAGTGATCCTGTATCAGGAGTGGCTGGTGAGTTTGAATCACCAACCTTGTGGTTAGCTTGTTGTTGTTGTTGTTGTTAAGTGCCGTCAAGTCGGTTCTGACTCATAGCGACCCTGTACAGGGTTTCCGAGGCTGTAAATCTTTACGGGAGTAGAAAGCCTCATCTTTCTCCCGCGGAGCGGCTGGTAGTTTCGAACCGCTGACCTTAAGGTTCGCAGCCCGATTCGTAACCACTACGCTACCAGAGCTCCTTAGCAGTCCTGTGCTTATTCTACAGTGCCACATCAGGACTCCATCTAGAATGAATGTTGTTGTTGTTAAGGGCCATCAAGTCGGTTCCGACTCATAGCGACCTTGTACAGGGTTTCTGAGGAGCAGCTGGTGAGACTGAACTGTCGACCTTGCTGTTCAAACTGACCTTGTAGTCCAGCGCCTTAACTTGTAGCACCACACTAGGATAAGGGAAAGGAAATGATATGGAATTAGAGCCTGGAAGGACAGCCCAGGTCTTAGACATCAGGATCCTCTGAAGAAAGTGAGGAGATGGAAAGTCTGGGAAGTGGGGGAGGTGGACAGGTGGGGAGAAGAGAGTAAGAAGCTCAGAGGTGTGTGGGGATGACAGGGGACTCCAGTCAGTGAGAGGCTCTGCCAGCCCCTGGTCTCTGGCACAGTTCAGAAGCCCGGGCAGGAGAATGGAGGAGAGGGAGGGTTGGAAGCAGAAGGTGAGGTAGAGGGGCACAAGGTTCGGGTCAGGTAGGCAGCTATCAAAGGCGGATGTAGAGAAGGCTTTTGTGCACAGGAGCAGCTGGGGATGGGCTAGAAGGAGGTGTGAGAGCTTGGGACAGACTGAGGAGAGAGCTCAGGATGGGGTTAGAGAGTGGGCATTGCTGTTGGATCCAGAACGTACTATATGCTTAGAGATCCCTGATGTTACTGCCAAGTGCTGTGGAGTTGGTTCGACTCATAACGACCCTATATAAACTTTCCAAGGATCCGATGGTGGGTTTGACTGCTAACATGCTGTTAGCAGTCCAGTGCTTATCCTATAGCGTCATGCCAGGACTCCTAGAGACCCCTAAGGGTAGTAACATCTCTTAAACCCCAGTAGGGGAAGGGAGAGGAGGGTAAGAGGCCCTGTGAGGAGAGGGAGTAGAGGAAAGCGCTGGGGAAGAGAATCTCTTCCAAGGAAAGAAAGCAGGGAGGTTAGGGAATACTGGAGACAAAATTGAGAAAAGTGGGCAAAGGAGAAGGAAAGTATACGGAGAATGAAGGTAGAACTCCCCTCACCCAGTATTCCCAGCACCCCATCTCTTTTGTGGGCTGCAGCGGAAAAGGTGGGATGGGATTAGGATGGAACCTGAGTCAGGCCAGGGATGTCCTGACCACACTCAAACCACTGATCGTCTGCAGTCGTTTCCCTCATCTGTAAAACGAGATCCCAGACACAGTTGAATGTCAAAGCTCTAGTGCTCCCCACCTACTGTCATCAAGTCGATTCTGACTCACAGCGACACTATATATGGTTTCCAAGATGGCAAGTCCTTTCGGGAGCAGCAAGTCTCCTCTTTCTTCCGACGCGGCTCATGGGTTTGAACTGCAGACCTTGTAATTAGAAGTCCATTCAAGGGTAGGAGTTGTTATTATAAATAGACTTAGATAAGAACTGGAATATCCAGAACCCTATAAGTAAAAGTCGATGTGGCTAGTGACAAGTTAAGGAACAAATCGGGTACATACAAGCTCCTCTACACTCCCAGATCAGTGAGTTCGAGGTCACTGCCTAAGCTCGCGCTGCAAGTGAAGAGCAGGAATCGGGCCTGCGCTGTCAGGTGGGGCTCATCCCCGGCTAGCAGCGCGTGGCGTCGTGCCGGGTTTCAACTTCTCCGTCGCAGCCCCTGCTCGCGGTCTGTCGCCGCAGAACACAGGCCCCGACAAGGTTTATCCAATCGAGCCCCCGTCCCAGTGAAAACCTTGCTCAAAACTCCCCCCCAAAAAAACTCCCCTTCCATTTCCCGTTTTCTCTCCTTCAGTGTCTCTGACCAGCATCTCACTCCCTACTTTGCTGTTGTGGCCTGCTTAGGTCCCCGTTCCCATTCAGCGGCGCTTCCTCTTTTCCAGGGTTGAGGATGGGGCAAAGGAGGAGTATGCAAGAAAGAAAAAAAGGGAAAAGTCGAGAGTGGGAAGCAGGAAACTGGGGAGGGGGAAGAAAGACTGATCGCCTGAGACAGACAAGGAGAAGCCAGCGAAAGAAACGCGGGCGATCGCCACGGATTCGGTAACCATTTTTTTCTGGGACGCCACCCGGACCCAAAGGGCTGCAGGGTGCAATCGCCTCCCCTCCCCTCTTGATGCCCCCCGCCCCCTCGCCCAAAGGGGCCAGAACGGAGGCGCGCGGGGGCTTTTCAGCGCAGCCAAGTGGAAAATAGACTTTAACCCGCTTTGTAGCGGCCTGGGCGCCCGGAGCGCTCTCCAGGAGCCCGACTGCGGGCTCACAGGCGGGCCACTCACAAGACACGGCCTGGAGTCCTCGCAGATCCGCGCGGCGTACGGACCCCTGACCTTAGGGCGCCAGGGCCCGGCTCTGCCCGCTTGGATAAGGCCAGGTGGTGCGGGGAAGCAGAATGCGATGCGGTTCCCTAGCTGCGTTGCGTCCGAGGGATCGCGACCAGGCCTGCCCAGCACCGCCATTGCCCTGCGAGGTCTCGGTGCAGCGTGTTCCCGCGGCCGGCGAAGACCGGGGAGAAAAAGTTGGCGAGGCGCTGGTATTCAAAACCAACAACCTTCTGACCTACGGGAGTTAGCGCACGAAGTGGAAACTGGCTTCGGTAGAGCTATTAGCTGCTCTGCGGACGCAGTTGGCAGGTGAAGGTCGGGGGAGGGCAGGCGGTCGCTGCTTCCTTAAGACGGCCAGCATTTCCGGAACGGGTTTGAGCTTCACCACCAGCTTCAATTTAAGGCACAGCGTCCCCGAGGTCCTAGCCTGGCCCGCGGGCATTGAGCCCCAAGGCCCGAGAAGGCGAGGGAAGCAGGCCGCCTGGCGCTGAGGCCTGCCGTTCCCGTCTGAGCACGAGGTTGGGCAAAGGGGCAGCTTACAAGGCCCGAGAACTGCGGCCTAAAACCAGAAGGTGGCGGGGTGGCCTCTCCAGCGGCTCCTTCCACGCTGCCCCCAGCTTGGCCCCGTGGGAAAAGATCTGAGCGTCGCCTTTCCTGAGCTGAGTTCCTCAGGACTTCCAGAAAACGTGAAACCTCACGAACAAGGCCGCAGTTTCGGACCGCGTCCCAGGAAGCGGGTGGCAGATAGGCGGGAGGGTTCCGGAGGCCGGGGGGAGCCTGGCAATGGTTTTCAGGAGAACCCATTTGTCAGGTCTCCAACACGGACCCTCTGCTCTTATCCAGGTTGTTTAAGAATTGAAACGACCCGAGACCAAGGAGATAGGGTTCAACTGACTTACACTCGGGGGACGAGGGATCTAGAGTCTCTCCCTGAGCCCCCGGCTCCTCAGACGCCTCTTGAGGCTCCAATGCAAATCCAGACTACTGCGGCCAGCCTCAGTGTAAGGACAGAGACGCCGGGAATAAGTCAGTGGTGTGGGGGAGGAGTCCCAGATCGCCCGGCCAAGGCTCCAGTCCGGCTTTTGCCTGCGACTCCGAGCTCCTTCCCCGCCCGAAGTCTCTCGCTCCGCCCCGCCCCGCCCCCCCTCCACCTTGGGGCAGGTGAGCGGCGGCCAATGGGCGAGCGCGGGGCAGGTGCCCGCTAACTCTAGCCTAGCAGCCCGGCGGCCGAGACCTGGTTAAGCAGTTCGGGGAAGACCGGGGCGGGGGTCGGTCCTGGCGGGGTCAAGAGGGAGGGAGCGGGGAACAGCTCTCCGGCCGCAGAGACAGACCGCTGCTTCGCCTAGATCCCGCTCCAGTGCCCGCGTCTGGAGCTACCTGCTCAGCCGCTGGGGCTGACGCTTCAAGCTGTGCGCTGTGGCCGGACTCCGCGCTCGCTGGCTCGCACGCCCCTCACCGCTCCGCGCCTGGCTCTCCGGCGGGGGCCGAGCGCGGGCGGACGGGCGGGGGAGGTGAGGGGTGCGGGTGTGTGTGCATGTGCCTGGCTGGGTGCACACCCCGCACGGCGGCGGCGCCTGGACACGGAGGTCTCCTCAGAGCCCGGCTGCCTAGCTCGGCTTCCGCGGCCACGATCATGTTCCAGCCCGCAACCAAGCGCGGCTTTACGATCGAATCTTTGGTGGCCAAGGACGGCGGGGGCGGCGGGGGCGGCGGCGGGAGCGCGGGCTCCCATCCCCTGGCGGCGCCTGCCTCAGAGGAGCCGCTCCGGCCCACTGCACTCAACTACCCTCATCCTGGCGCGGCCGAGGCCGCCTTCGTGAGTGGCTTCCCCGCTGCTGCCGCAGCCGCTGCTGCGGGCGCCGGGCGTTCACTGTACGGTGGGCCCGAGCTCGTGTTCCCCGAGGCCATGAACCACCCCGCGCTGACCGTGCACCCCGCGCACCAGCTGGGCGCCTCCCCGCTGCAGCCCCCGCACTCTTTCTTCGGCGCTCAGCACCGAGACCCGCTCCACTTCTACCCCTGGGTCCTGCGGAACCGCTTCTTCGGCCACCGCTTCCAGGGTGAGTGCCCGAGCGGAGCCAGCTGCGGCGACGCGGGGGAGGCTCGGGGGCGCGCTGGGTTGTCCAGAAGTTGTTAGCGAGCAGGCTTTGGATCCGCGAAGGCCGATTCCTAAGCCGGAAAGAGCCGAGTTGGTCTCCCTCCTGGAGAACCCGACTGGGACCCCTGGGCTTTCCCAGGAATGATGCCTATTCAGAGGTCAAGCCCGGGCGCAATCTTGGCGCCTCTGCTGGCCCTTCGGGCGGCCTTGCCCTATTTCCTCTCTGGACTGAGTCAAACCCAGCCCTGGGAGTGGAGCGGCCGCCGCCCTCCCCCCGCCCCTTTAGACCCAGGACCAGACTTCTCGCTCACGTCCATCACCAATTCTCAAGGATCCGCCCTCCGTGGCGCATCAGGGCAAGGGAAAGTCCACCGCGTGCCGGGGGTCTGTGGGAATTGGGGGCAGCGGAGAGGGCGAATTAGAGAGTTCTGTCGCGTGTGGAGTGTTCTGCTGTTTTAGGATGTCTCCCCACACCTTTGGCCCTACTTCTTCAAGTTACACATGCCTCTTGGACTACGAGGCTCACCCCCTCTGGGAGTTCACCTGGCTGCCGAGGACAGACTACGGTCCTCCCGGTCAGGGGCAGGGAGCAGAGGGCTTTTGAGGCCGTAACCACTCCAGACTCAGCATCCGGCTATCGGCTTGTTATTGAAGATCCCTCACTGGCTTTACACAAACACACACACACACACACACACACACACACACACACACACACACACACCACGCACGCATACACACTGGTTTCAATTATCTGACTTGCTCCGTAGCAGAGAGAGTTGCATTTATTAGTTTCCTTCCTCGAATTTATTGAAGTTTTTCTTCTTCTTCTTCTTCTTTTTTAAGAGATGGCCTTTAATTTGTGCATGGATTGCTCTGGTTTTAGGTTGTATTTTGTTAGTGCTGCTCAGAGCTGGGTAACCTAGCTTTTAGGCTTTCCAAAAGAAAAGTAAGTGTCTGGGACTTAGGCTTCTGGGGCTATTCTGATGGTGGTGGTGTTAAGTAGCTAGGTCTATACAGTCAAAGAATATTGGTGATTACTCGGATAATACGAGAGAAATGATCTTTTGAAGCGTTGGCTCTCACTGCTTGACTGTTTTACAGAAAACTGCTTTCCTGGGTCCCGACTTGCCTGACAATTTTCTCAGCCCCTCTTGACCAACACATATATTATATATTGCCACTGAGAAATGCTACAAAATCAAGGAACGTAGCGACTTCAGCAAGAAATTTTGTGGGCAAACTTTTTTCCTTCTTTGGGGATTTCAAAGATCCGCCCAAATTATCCGGAAAATTGCCTACCATGTCAACCGCTTTAGGCAAAAGTTTCTGTCAGTTAAAATGTTTGCGGATACAGTGGGGCTTTATTCACAACTAAGCATATATCACTTTGGTTCCTCGTAGACTCAGCCCCCGACCTGGAAACCACGGGGCCGGGTGGAGTCCCCTCTGTTTGTGAGGCACCCCGGTGCTGTGGCTGCGAAGGGGCTAGCGGGTAGCGGGCTGGTGGGGGACTGGGGTTCAGAAGAGAGCGTCAGGCCAGCCCTAAACCCTGGCCTCTTGCGGCTCGGCTCGTCCAGAGGTAGCCTCCGGGTCGGTGCCCCCGGCATAGGTTCCCGTACTCCTCATCCGCCGCGCTGCCTTTCCACTTTAGGCCTAACCTGAGTGGACTCGGGAGCCTTGCAAGAGATCCATCCCGGATTTGAGCATCCCCAGCCAAGCGAGATCGGATAAATACTCGGTAAAAAACCCTCTCGGAAACTGCTGGCGCTGCCCGAGTCATTAGCCCCGGTAGGCTTGTTGTCAAGTTGCATAAACCGTTGGATTTTTCTTGAGAATCATGTCTGGATGCCGAGATGGAGCCCAGTGTGGCCGCATATTTGAACTGGGAATTTCGATGGTCACTGAGGACTTTTACAACCCTGAAACGCGTTCGCTTCACGGCCCTTCTTTGCTTGGACAACCGATGCGCGTCCCGCCGGCCGCGGGCCCTGCGCTCTTACCCGGTCTCCAGGTTGTGAGCCGAGCCGTCCCGGGTCCTCCGGCGCCACGTTTTCTAGAGAACCGGGTCTCTGCGATGCTCATTTCAGTCCCGTTTTAATACAAGAGATGAAACCCTACAGGAACGAAAATGAACATGTCTACACTCCGTGCGCAGCGCTCTCGGGTGGTTAGTCCCACTGCGCAGGGAAGCGGCTTCCCAGAGAATCAAGGCACTGGACGCCGAAAAGTGAGTGCGGGATGGTCGGGACCCGGCGGCGGACTACGAAGCCGGCAGACTCTCCAGATCCGAAAGCGAGGAGCCGATGAAAAGGGACAGTTGGAGGTATTTTCGGCTGATTTCTCGGAGAGCAGGAACTTTCCAGACAGGGGAGCAGCGCCCGGAGGAGCCGTGGGAGAGCCTGCCCTTAGGGACTGGCGATAGTAATGGGCCGGTGCTTCAAAGAGCTTCTTTGTTCCGGCCGCGCGGGGGAGGTGGGGGATGAGGTTATCTCCGCCGCTGGCCCACCTGCTCCTCTTCTGGCTCCCGGCTCTGCAGCCGCAGCGTCCGACCCAGAGCCCCTGGCCGGCCAGCCCTGGTCTCCTCCATGGACACTGTAGCTCAAGCCCCAGGCTCTTCGGATCTCCGGTTCCCAGCTCCAGCCACGTCTTTCACGAGTATTCTTAGTTCCAGTTATTGCCTTGAAGGGACCTGCCTAGAAAGGCTATAGGAAAACGGGAGTGGCTGTTCAGTTTCCGGCTCCAGGAAAGGCTACACCGGCTCCTTTCCACCTGTCCTTGCCCAAACTGATGGCCGTTTCATAGTCTGGAGTTACTTCATTCAAACAGGCCTATCCCCAACCCCTAGCTTGTAGTTCAGTGGAGAGAAACTGAGAGCACGGTGGGGATGATTCAGACTTCCTCCCCGCAGATCAGAGTGAGCAGGTCCCAGGTACATAGGGACCTAGAGCACCAGCCTCGGCCTCAGAGAAACTTGGAACAATTCGTCAGTTTTCTCACTGGGAAAAAGTCCGCTTCTTTTAAAATCAAATAACATGTTACAAGAATAATTTTTCGCTCTCTGTTTCTTCGTGGTTGGGTTGGAAGGACCTCCCCCCCACACTCCATTATATTTCTACATATGTGTATGTACACAGACTGTAGGACACGTGCCCTACACCCATGCCAGAATATTACTGGGGCCATTTTTTCAGTGAGTCTGGTGACAAGCTATGTAACTTTCCCCTAAAATAGCCAGACTTTAGGCAAAGAGGCATGTTTATACCAAAGAGAATGAGAAGGCTGTTGCTTCCACCCTCTACTTTAGAGAAGTCCTGCACACAAGTGGCTGACACACCAAAGAATCCTAAAACAGCCATCTAGTTACACTGCACCCCACTCTCTCCCAACCCTGGGTCACTTCACTTCTGATCTGCCTGAGCAGCCCGTAGCTGACACTTGGGAATGCTGGACTGAACTGGGCTTTCTTCCTTCTGGCTCTGCTGTCCAGAGAAAAGTACTTCAGTGGGGCTGGATGTGTGTGTGTGTGTGTGTGTGTGTGTGTGTGTGTTTAAGCAACTCATTTTCATATCAAAAAGAAGTATTTGCTTCTCACCTACTCCCTCCTCTCTCTGGCCTTCCCCACTGGCCCACACCCCTGGGCCTTTAATAGTTCCAATTCCTACCTAGAGCAGATTTTCCTTCTCTCCTCAGTCTCTCTGTCAGACCACCTCCTCTGAGGACCTATTCCCGCCACCAACCCAAGCTAAACTTCTCTTTCTTAAATCTGAGAGTCTTGGTCTTGCCCCCCACCTGGAAAGGTACAGTGGGCTAGGTGTCCCCTCTTCACTTCTCTGTGGTATGCTCTCATCCCCCAGTGTAACTGATAAGCTGACTGGAGGTCAGCCACCTCACTTTGTTGAGAATTTTGTCTTTTCTCATGTCTTTTCCCTTCATACCTGGTCAGCCCTGTTCCACAGAAAACTCTAGCCTGTAACTGTCCAAAGCCCAGGGATTTGGGGAAGTAGATTCGTGTGGTTTCCGCATGAACAGTTACTTCAAGAGTTTATCTCAATTATGTGCCATTGTTTGCTTACATAAATATTTCCAGTGGTAGGAGATGTCAACTGAATTATCCAGATAATTGTCTCAAGAGCAAAACAACAGGTCACGTTGAGTCAAACCAGTGGCCATCTCTCTGAATAAATTAATTGGATCAGTCAAACTCAATAGCTAACTCTGTCAAAACATTCCATCTAGGCCTGTGTGATGTTGGTGGGTCTGGGGACTGTTATGTGCTACTGCATGACTCCCTGGGTGAGGTTGTCAGGAAGTGTTCAGCATCTGGTCTGTTTGCATGTCACTGCACCAGGGACTCTGTGAGGGCTTACTGGAGGCAGGGCTCTGTGTTTGTTATTGTTGTTGTTAAGTGCTGTCCAGTTGGTTCCGACTCATAGAGACCCTGTGTAGTATAGGGTTTCGGATGCTTGTCAATCTTTATGGAAGCAGAAAGCCTCGTTTTTTCCCCAGGAGTGGTTGGTAGACTTGAATTGCTGATCTTGCAATTCACCATCTAGTGCTTATCCTATGGAGCCACAGTACTCCTGGGGCTTTGGGTAGAAGCTTGTTTTAGCTTCTGTAGTCCTTGACCCCCACCCCAGCCTCATCCAGTCTAGTGTCAGTCAGCCTCTTCTCCTGTGTGTGGGAGTGGAGTCCCCATGCTGGCCAGCATTTGCTAAGGGACAGTCACACTCTGGAAAATTCTGTACAGTATATAGGAGGAAGAGACAGTAGGGAGGCTGGAGCATATATTTACACACGCCCATGCAGAAACCAATATATCTATATCTATATATATTAGAGAGAAAGATGACATCTAGATATTTATACATGTGTTTCTTTAGCAGGGGACTATTCAGGGACTAAGCAGGGCCTTTTTCAACCAGAGAGCAGTAAGAGTCTCCTGGGGGGGAAGGGTTTTGCCTTAGAGGCTGGGTCTTTAGGTCACCTGAAGGTATGAACAGAGAGGTGGAGGAAATGGAAGAAGCAGCGGACCTTAGACTTCCAGGAACTGCCTGGACATTGAACTAGCCCCGATTTGATTTTTTCCACCTAACAAGAGAGAGCCTGAGACTGCTGGCAGGTGTTTACCATGAGTTAGTAGCCTGAGCATCTAGCTTGGAGATTGATTTAAGCAGGGGTGAAGAGAAAGCTCCTCGGGCATCTATCTTCTAGTTCCTCAGTCTGTTTGGTAGGGAGGTGTCTTGCAACCTTCATGTTCTCCTTGTTACCTTCTTGATACCCAGTCCTGCTTCGACTCTTGGTTCACTTTGAGGGAAAGGTATAGTGATGGGTTATTAAAAGCAAAGGGTCCCTGGTGGCGCAGTGGTTAAACAGTTCGGCTGCAAACCGAGAGGTCAGCTTCCCTAAAGATTACAGCGCTGGAAACCAAATGGGGCAATTTTACTCGACAGTAATGGATTTGGTTTGTGGTTTTAATTAAAAGCAAATCATTCTGGACCAGGGTAGCGTCGCTGGGAAAGCGTGGGGGAAAGGAGCCGAGGCTCGAGGCTATTTTTCCACATTTTATGCCAACCTACACCTCATTAGACCTGCAGAGCTGCGGTTAGTGGAAGCTCTCAGACCGTGGGGTGGAATAACTGGGGAGGAGATCGGGGTTTAGGAAGAGGGCGGTAAAGAGGACAAGAGGAGAAGTGGGGGCTTCAAGGACTGGAGAGGGGCACGGAACCTCAAGGGCTCGTGGGGGCCGGTGGGAGAGCCACTTCGGCTCACCGAGCCCCTTCTCTCTGTACCCGCGTGTATTGCCTTCGGCGGCGCTACCGCAGCGAGCGACGTGCCCCAGGACGGGCTCCTTCTGCACGGCCCCTTCGCGCGCAAACCCAAGCGGATCCGCACGGCCTTCTCGCCCTCGCAGTTGCTACGGCTGGAGCGCGCCTTCGAGAAGAACCACTACGTTGTGGGCGCCGAGCGCAAACAGCTGGCGGGCAGCCTCAGCCTCTCGGAGACACAGGTAATAACCCCTTTCTGGAGTCCAGCAGCCGTGGGGCGGGAGGTTGCAGAAGCGGCCGTAAACCTGGAGCCCTCCAATAGTCTCCCGGGAGTTCTCTCCCGCTCGGTTCTAATGTCCACCCTTCGGTGCTCCCACAAGGCCGGTAATTCTCCTACCTTCGTTGAGACTACAAGACTTTGATAAGAGCACTAAAGACCCAGCAGGAGGCAAGGACCCTTCTAAAGCCCCTAAGGAGGTTCCAGGTTATCTGAGGACTGAGAGTCCACTGCTGTCACTCCCGGTCAGCACTAGTGGACACTCCCGCAGCCTTTCTCGGGATTTTGTGGGATGACCAGGCCCTCCTACTGACTTACTTCACAAGCTGTTTGTGAGCAAAGCTGGCAGAGGCCTTGGCTGCCCAGCAGCACACGCGGTACCGGGAGGAGGCCCTAGTCTGCTCAGGCTAATGATCTAAGAAGCAGAAGGGACTAAGCCGAAACCCCTGCTTCAGTCAGAGGTAGCACTGGCGCCTGCTGCACAGGCTGGCTGGCAGGGGATCTGAGAGGCCTGGAATGCTGGGGAAATAGACTGCGTACTCAGGGGCTCTTTCCAGTCACTAGAAGCACTATCCAGTGGAGGGAGTCTAGACTTCTGCAGTGTTTGAGAAGTTTGAACTGGGGAGATTATGGTTACCATGTAGTATTTCTATAGTTGATAAATAATATTTTCATATCAAAGAACTGAAAAGCAATTACAATTATAGGCAAATTTGGATCCGTTGTAAGTACTTTGCCATAATAAATGCTGCCTGGAAGCACCACCTAAGCTCTTGGTGGGTCTCTGTTGAATGAACTGGAGAAGTTTAGCGGCCTCTCCCAGCTACTGCTTGGGAGGTGAATTTCAGTGTCTAGATGGGCCTCTGGAGACTTTCCATCCGCCATTCCTGGCCAGTTCCTAGAAGTTCGAGAGTTCAGCATGCAGCTTAAGCAGCTCCAGTCCTGCTGGCGTTTTCATTTTTTGCTTTCCTTTCTGCCTTACCTTGCTCATCCCCTACTGCCCCAACCCCATCCCAGTCCTCAAAGGGAGAAGGCATCCTCTCATTGAGTTTGGGCATTTCCTGTCTTGGTAACTGTGTGATGTCTCACTAACAATCAAGGAATAGATAGCTCCTGGCTTCACCGCAGGGCCAGGCGTTTTCACATTTGCTCAATGGCTGGCTGAGTTTTAACTGCAAGAGAAAAAGCTTACAAAACAATGGAATTAATTTTAAAAAAAATTAAGAAGGAAAGTTATTTTTAAAAGATAAGTTAATAAATAACACCCCTTTCCCCTCCGAGCACTGTGTTTTAGGATTGTTGTTTAAAACAACGTGTCAGTTTAAGAATGGTGTTTATAATTAACTTCACTTAAAAAGTAATCTTCATTAAGTTTAGATTACAGACATGTAAGAAAACAAAAATGGCTTATAATCCCACCACCCACAGATAACACGTGTTGAAATTATGTCATTGTTTTTAAACTTTCTGGTTTTTAGCTCAGTGAGAAAATTTTTAATTAACCTCCTTTCAAACTGAATCTAGCTGCCTGTCAATGTTTGTTCCTATTAATGCCAGTTAGTAAATGAGCTGTTTTGTTTTTATTAAAACATATATTTAAAGAAACCCGATAGATGAATATACTGTATCCAGCTTAATAATATTGAGAGTCATGGTCTGTCTTATTTTATCTATAAATGGAACAACAATAAAATAGAACTATGGGAGGGCTAATCCTTAGAAACCTCCTTGAGGGGGTAGGGATTGTATTCCAGAACATGATCCCTGAGGAAGATGGATAGTGCTCCTCATCAGGCAAATGGAATTTCAAATGCTTACCTCTCTGCTCACTGTGACTCTGGAAGTTACTCAGCTTCTCTTTGCCTCAGTTCCCTCATCCAGAAAACAGGTTGGTTGAGGGCTGTTGTTGTTAAGTGCTGTGGAGTTGGTTCCAAGGAGCAGCTGGTGGGTTTAAACTGCCAACCTTGTGGTTAGCAGTCCAGTGGTGATCCTACAGCACCACACCAGAAGTCTCATTTGAGGATTCAAGCTACCTAATATGGACTCCTGCTGTGGTGCTGTGGAATGCGCTAGACTGCAAGGTCAACTTGAACTACAGGTTGCTGGTTCAGGCTTACCAGCTGCTCCCTGGAAACCCTATACAGGGTTGCTATGGGTCAGAACCAACTTGACGACACTTAACAACAACAATATGGACTCCTGGTGTGGCACTGTAGGATCAGCACTGGATTTTGAACCACAAGGTTGGTGGTTCAAATCTATCAGTTGTTCCTCGGAAACCCTGAGTAGGATCGCTATGAGACTTGACTGCACTTACCAACAACAATATGAGTTTAGGAGTCCTTGGGTAATGCAAACAGTTAATATGTTCAGCTGAAAACCAAAAGTTTGGCAGTTCAAGTTCACCCAGAGGTCCCTTGGAAGAAAGGCCTGGTAATCTACTTGAGAAAAAAATCAACCACTGAAAACCCTGTGGGGCATAGTCCTACTCTGACACATATCGGGTAGCATGAGTTGGAATTGACAGCAACTGATTAAATATGCGCAGAATATTAATTCCCATCTCTGGTCCCTTCTTCTTCCCGTTGTTTAAAGTAATATGACAAGTTAGTGTCCTAGGATTCAAACTTGGGCTTCTTGACCTTCCTTTTCTATTTACCCTGTAATGTATCATCAGGACCTAGGCTATGTAATTAATTATCTAGCCATTGCTCAGTATTTACCAAGCAGGCTTACCTGTCATTTCCAACTATCAGCTACTTGTCAAGCATCAGTCACTCCCATCAACCCCCTGCCATGTATTTCTACTGTCAATATCTATATTTGTCTCTCAGAACTCTCTAATCTGTCCCCCACAGATAGCTGTTTTGTATTTAGCCATCTACTGCTGTCTGCTTTCATTAAACCACATCCCTAAAGCTAGTTAATTTATATTTTCTATTAATCATATGCTTTTCTTCCTAACAATAACTTTGATTTACTTAGTAGTTGATTATATCTTTACCATCTTATTTTAATTTTTTATGACTATACTATTCGTCTTAGACTTCCATCTCTATAGATCTATTTTCTAATTGATAGCCAGTATATTCATATGCCTGTTACTGATTGTTAACTATCAGCCCCTTGGTTCCAACTTGCCTTCTCTCTGAGCCTCAGCTGGATGGAATAAACTTTAGGGTTCTTTCCAGTCCTGAATTTGTGGCTCATTTATAGTCTCTGTGTTTCTGTGTAATCCCTTCTCCCTGTGCTCAGAACTCTACCTATCGTAACATGCACGTCTTTACTGTTATTACTTGTTTAATTATCAGCATTACCCACAGGACTAGCTTCCCATATATGTAGATGAATTCCCATGGAGATCTTAAAATACAGATTTCTGAGCCCCACACAGAAGATTCTCTTAGGAGATCCAGGGTGCGGTCCAGGAAAACTCTTTTAAACCAGTTATCTGGGCGATTCTGATGAACAACAGATCTGGTTATCTTAACCCTGGGAAGTGGAGACTAAGCATGTCTGTTTCATGTTGTATCTCAGAGTCCAGGTTAGGGCCAGCAAGTAGATGCTTAATAAACATGTATTGAATGAATGCACATGTTTCTTTTTATTCCACACATATCCATACACTAACTTTATCAGTCATTCCACTGTCATTGCCCTCTCCTCCTCCCTCTCTCCTTCCATCTCTCCCTGACACTGTCACAACTGGTTGTTGACCTAGTTGATACAGAGAGGTTCTCAGATAAAACTTCTGGGAGATAAGCTGATCTGTGGGTGAGCTTTACCTGAAGCTTCAGTAAGGAGGTGGGCTATTTGAGTACTTTGTTGGAGTGGGACTGTGTGTTTGGTGAAAGTGGGGATTTGTGCTGTACTGGCCTATGGGTCAATCTGGGAGGTGGAAGGAGCTCTAGGTAAGACCTAGCTCTCCCTTCTGGCGTGAATTACTTGCTCCTTATTACTTTGATGCAATCCTGGAATCTAACCCAGAAAATGCACTGACAAGCCTCAGATCTGGTGGTTGCGGGCAGATCATGTGTATGATGCGTGTGTGCTCACAATGTGAGGTACACATTGGGCCCTGGGCCAGGTGATGTCATATGTATACATCAGGTGCTAGTAGCACTCACATGACATGACATGGAATCTGCATATTCAGATGACCTAATGGTATGATCCTTGCATACTTACATGCTTCTATCTATGTATTTGTGGTGGTCAGGGGGGGCATTTTGTTGCTCCAGACTGATCAATTGTTTAGTTTCCAGATGTCCATCTGCCCAGCCCTGACCTTGGCTACTCCTTGACCCTGGAAGCCACCCACTAATGCTATTCAAGGGCAACTAGGAGTGGTCATTTTTGAGACCAAGTTATGGGAACATTTAAACAGGGTTTTGAAGGCTTAGTAAGAGTTTTCTAGTTTAGGTAACTGGGGCAAAGATAGAGCCTTAGAACGATCTGGCTTATCATAGAAATTCAGTGAGATGGGGACATCGGAGACCACAAGGAACTGCTCCTCAAACCCAGAGGTGTCAGAGATGGGTAAGGGAGGTCCTCCAGGCAACACCTGGACTGTGCCCTTTGGGGATAGGCAGAATAAGACAAGCCTCCTAAAGCTGACACCTGCAGAGCTGGGGCCACACCATATGTGGACCAGTTCCTCTTTTCTTTTCAGGTAAAAAATAACAATAAATTGTTATAAGTGATACATTAAAGGAAATTCAGAGAAGTAGAAAAAAGAAAGAAGAGTCGCCCATACTTTGGTACATTTCCTTCTAGTCTTTTTTCCCCCATGCATAGATTTTGTTTTTCCATGATTTTGCTCACACCATGCCAACACTGTGCCTCCTGCCTTTCCCACACATGTTATTAAGTCATAAGCATCCCCCTGTTATTATATAGTCTTTGTAAACAGCATCTGGACACTCAGGCCCAAGGCTGTTCTCCGGAAGATAGCCGGGCTGTCTAGAGAAACAATTTATGTCCACAGGGATTACACTCACAGTTTCTAAAGAGTGGCCTCCTTGATTGACCACAGGAGTGTTCATGGAGAAAGTATTCAAAATCATCTTTTTCTTGGGTATGCCAGGAATCTCCTCTGGTTTGAAAATATACTCTGGACCTGAAGTTCCACCACTGAAGCTTTCTTTTTGTGGTCAAGGTTGCTGGGAAAGGTTAGCACGCTGGGGCTCATCCCACTAGCAGCTAGTGTGATTGTCAGATTCCAGAAGGAGACTTAGAAGTGTGTGGGGAGAGAGAAAGCCACAGAAAAAGGCCCTCTGTCCCTGATGCTGCCCAGACTGCCCTGGATCAAGACTATCATTTGAGCTTCCCAGGGATGATGCCCTAGCCCTGCATCCAGCTCTGAGTCCTGCATATATATGCCTGGCACAGGAGGCAGGGTGAGCTCACCTGCTTACTGGCTAGCATAGCCACAGTGATGGGGGCTAGGGGACAGGGACCAGGCTGGATGCCAAATGGTTGTACCAAGAACTACCCTGGGCGAGCCAGCCCCGTGTCAAAGAAAGGTGGGCATGGGATCTGGAAGCCCTGTGCCTGGAGCATCTGCCATCCTCCCCTGCCTACTTGAGGTGAGGTGTGTGACCCATGAAGGTCAGGCACCCCGTCTTAGCTGCTTTGGGTGACCCTGAGCTCTGGCAGACATGGGACCCAGCCCCATCCTAATGCTTTGGAACCACGGGTGAGCAGTTGCTACAGTAGCAACCTTGGGAAGGGAATACCCTGGGTTGGGTGGGCTCCATGGAGGAAACAGTGAGGAGTGTCTGGGTATGAGGGGGTGGGTTTTAGGCCTGTTTTTGTGGTTCAGCTTTGTGCTTAGGAAGGGGACTGGACAGAGCAGTCTTTCTGAGGAACACTGCCCTTAACCCTGTCCAGGGCTTAAGGATCTCTTCTTAGCATTTACTTTTGCTGCCAAAGCTGAGGTCCTCACCACTGCTTTACACTTACCACTCCACATATGAGGTTATCATTGGTGACTTGGCAGAACCTACTTGCTCGCTCACTTCCAGGACACTGTCCAAACCTCAGACCTGTCCTCACTGCATCTCTTCCGACAGGGACCTTATGGAGCAAAAGCACAGAGGTGCTCCAGAGGTGTAAGGGCCCCAGAAAGGACCTTAGGTACAGAGAAGGAAAGAGACTTACCCAAGCCCCTCATCCCAACTCTGAGGATGATGGTCTGTCCTGGCTCTGACAAGCCAAGTAAAGAACTGTGTGGCCATGTGGAGTGGACAAAAACTTTCTCCACAGTCAGCAAGCACAAAGACAAGACTAGTGAGGGAGCCAGGAAAGCCCTCAGAGTATGCACAAGAAGCTGTTAAGGGCTGTGTCCCAGATGAGGAGCAAATGCTGGAAGAGGAGGGAGAAGAGAGAGAAATGACCTGCGATTGGGACTAAGTCTGGAAGGACTTTCTGGAGGATGTAGGCTTAGAATAACAGACCCACCCACATCTTCCTCACTCCATTCCTGCTCCCAAACCCATGGAGGATGACTGTCCAGGACAGCCCCTGTGAGTCTTCTTATAACCTAACACAGAAGGGAAGGGTGTGCTCTCACTGCGCTAAAAAATGACCTCCATCCCTGACTGGTGTTTCTCCTCCATCTGGGAGGGCTACAGAGGCTAGAGCTGTCAGGGCAGAAATCTAGAGCAGCCATGGGAGGCAGAGCACACAGTGGCGGTGGGGTTTGGGGCTGAGACATGCCCTCTCCTCACCCTTCTCTGTCCAAGGGGGGAGGGTGAAGTCTCTTTGGTAGATTCCACTTTACCCTGAGGGACTGGTACCCAGGAGGCACTGAGGCTCTCCACCACCCAGTTGCCCTTCTGATGTGGGAAGCAGATGGCTAAAGTAGCGTGGCGGTTGGAGATGTCATGGTGTGGTATGTGCCCCTAGGAGTAGTCTGGCTGTCCCAGGCACTGTTCTTGGTGTGGACACCACCTCCTGGTTATGTAGCTATGCCCATGCTGTCTCTTTGTGCAGCTGGTGGTTGGCACTGACCCCCTATAATCACTCAAGCCAGTCCAGGGCCTGGAGACCACGGAGCTGTCAGGGAACCCATCCGGAGTCTTGTCAGTGGCTTTTCATATGCACGTTCAGGCAGCACTCTGAAAGAAGCAATTACTACTTCCACCCTAGAAAGCAGTGGGACCTAGGTCTGCTGGCTCCAAGGCTGGAGGGCTCCCCATGCACTACTGTCCCCCCACCCCATGATTTGCTCCAGCCTCAGGAAGCAGGTTGCTGATCCAGGGAACCCCTCTCCGACTCCAGGTGCTCTCCCTTACCTCTACTTGAGGAGGGCAGGAGAACCACCCCCTCTGTGGCCCCAACTAACTTGCACCTGAAGAGCATTTCTCTAGATTCACCAGTGGAGAGGTCTGACCCATGTGGCCTCTGTTTCCCCATCTGATTCCCAGCTCCTCTGACCGAGTGCTGAGGTCCCAGCAACTGCTCTGGGTGTTTCTCACCTCTGCCCCCTCCCTCCCTGGCCTAGGTGAAAGTGTGGTTCCAGAACCGGAGGACAAAGTACAAGCGGCAGAAGCTGGAGGAGGAGGGGCCTGAGTCTGAGCAGAAGAAGAAGGGATCCCACCACATCAACAGGTGGCGCATTGCCACGAAGCAGGCCAATGGGGAGGACATCGATGTCACCTCCAATGACTAGGGGCAGCCAGCCATGAACCCACGAATGCAGAGTGCTGCTCGCTGCTGGCCAGGCCCCCGGGAAGGCCCAGCTGGACTCTGGCCACTCCCTGGCAGGGCTGCGGGGAGGCCTTGAGTCACAGTCCCACGGGGCTTGGAGCCTGGGACCACCATAGACAGAAGGACAAGACATGGGCTGGCTGAGAACTGGGGCTGCTCAGAGATCCTGTCTGCCTGAGCCTGCCGCCCACCATCGCAGCTTCCCAGCCGCTCTCCATTTCCTTTCTCTTACCTCCTTTTTGTTTTGATGCATTTCTAATTTATTTTCCAGGCGCTCACTGTAGTTCTTAGTGACCCCATGTGTCTCCCTTCCTTATGAGAATAAAGTCTCTCTTCAGGACTTGGGCATTCAGCTCCAAACCCAGAGATTCCGGTGGCTGAGCAAGCTGGCTCAGACTGGTGCCTGGAGATTCCAAGGGGATTCAATTCATCAATTCCTTTCTTTTGTTGGTGGTCAATGCTGGTCTCTAGCCCCAACTCCAAGAAACTAAGACTAGCTATAATGAAGGACTTACTTGTGTCTTGAGAGAGGCTAAACTTAGGGTTTTCCAAACTTATTAATGGCCCAGATGGATCAGAGAGGAGAGGGGGAGGGAGCTCCTTCACGCTTGGAGAAGTGACAGCTCTGGTATCCCATCTTCTGGGAGCTTCTCCAGTTGAGGAGCCAGAGGAAAAGGGGGAATCTGGGGAGCTGGGTCAAGGGGTTACCATTCACAGAGACTGACAGTCCCAGTACCAAATCCTGGAGCGCTCCCCATGCACTACCATGCTCAGTTTCCCCAGCAGCTATCTGGTTAGAAACAGGGCTGAGGCTAAGCCTGTAACCTATTCCCAGCTCCCCACCCCACCCCCCACCCCACAAACACACCTAGGGAAGAGCTCACCTGTGGCCCTTCAGTTTGTCCACCTTCTTTCCTACTTGCCACCTTCTAAGGTCTCCTAAAAAGCAAAATCTGTTTCTACTTCTTCATTTCCCATAGGTTCCCCACCCTCTGCTCCTTGGCCTCTGCCCACAAATTTGCTGACACTCTGACCATCACTGACTGTCAGGGGCATCACCATCTCCCATCTGGTCTGCAGACTTGGCAGCGTGGCCATTCCTGCGTCCCCCATTCTGGCACCTGTGATACCACTGTTCCTGCCTCTCTTACTTCTCCCCATTCTCCTCTCCACCTCTGTCCACCACAGGGTTGGTCCTCAGTCCTCCTTACTGTGACCACCACCTGGTACTTTACACCCATTTCCAGGATTTGTTCCTTGACTCCCAGGTCCACATCTCCAGCCAACTTCTGCTGAGCCAGATCCACTCAGCTAGCTACCTGCTGACCTCCATGCCCCTCAGCACTCAAACCCCACTTGTCCACAGCTGGAGTCATCTCTCTACCTGGTCTCCTCTAGGGTCACCCATTTTGGCAGATGGCATTAGCCATGTATGCTTCTCCCCTAGCTAGAAGACACCTTGGACTCCTCATTCTGCTTCTCCTTCCATTGACATCTAACAGCTTGATTCTAGACTAGTTTTCCAGCCGTACCACTTTAGCATAGTGTGCCTCAGCCTGCCACCAGCCCAGGTCTGCTCCTCAAGGGAGTAGTGAGCTTAATGTTAATGTGGTTTCTGTGGTGGTTGAGGAGGAGACTCATTCCCAAGGAGGAGCACCTCCATGCTGAGCTCAAATAAGACAGCGTCATTCCTTTTCTAACTCCCTTACTTTGCTCCACGTCTCACCCACCCTCGGCCTCTCCTACCTCGTTTCTGGAGCCATCCGTGTCAGTCTCACCCAGCTCTTCCCTGTTCCTGATGGAGCCATAGGCTTCCCTGTGTTGTGCCTTTGTGTCTGTTCTTCCTGCCTGGAGTGCAGGTGAGCACACCGTAGGTGCTTGTTAAATGTTGAATTCTTTGGAAAGATGTCAAAGGCCCAGCCCTACTGCCTGGTCATACCCAGATTCAAGCACAGGAGGTCCTTCTGTTGCCACAGACCCAGGTTCTGCTGGGACCAGCAGCATCTCTCCTGCCTGCCCACCTCACTTGTGCCCAGTCAGTGCTAGAAACCAAAGGGCTTGGTCTCATCCCAATGCCCATGCATTTCATCAACCAGGAGAATTCTGCCCATGGCATCTTAAAAGCCTGAACCTGGATAAGTTCAAGTTCAACCGCATGGTAGACTCTCCCTCTGCCAAGCAGGAGGGATCATTTCTCGGGAGCATGGAAGCACAGGTGGGGGGTGGGGTGAAGATGGTGGGCAGAGAAATTGTGAGCTGTTCCCTCAAGATTCTTTCTCACTCAGTAGGGGGAGGGGAACAAGCAGATCACAGCAGAGCACCCTTGTCATCCAAATAAAGGGCTGGAAATGACCCAAGCAAACCTGCCACTCTCCCTAGGCCAGGCCTGCGAGGGGGTGGGATGGGGAGTCCCTGCAGTACTCTCATCCATCCCCCATGTTGTGCCTCTCCCTGCAGACGGTAAATATTGGTGTTGTGACTTCATTAATAAAGGCTTCTGTGAGCCTGAAAAACATGGAATCAGGATGAACTATTTTCTGAGCTGCGGGCTTGCCAGGTTTGCTAATTTGGGAGTTTTTGGGCCCTATCCAGGGAACAAACCAAAGTCTCTCTCAAAGAGACACAGATGCAGCTGAGAAGGGGAGAAGAAGACAAGGAATGCTGCTTTCCCTCCCTGACTGCTCTCCCCCACCCCCAGAGATCAGGTCCTACAGAGGGTGAAGCCTGTGCAGGATGGTGTGGAGTGGACATTGGCCTGCTGGTGTCCTCAGCGTGCCGGGAACTGTTCAATCAGGCCTTGGTTGTGGAAGCCTGAGTCAGATGCTTCCTCTCAGCTGAGCTGGCCTCCCGGGGAGGCCTACAGACCCATGGGATGTGGTATTTAAGAGCACTTGTGAGCACCCCAATCCTAGTGATTTACAATGAGAGAGCCAGGGAGTTGTTCTTAACTCTCTGGGCCTAAGCCATTTATTTTGCCCTCAGAGAATGATCTTTAAATATCCTCCTGCCCATAGAACTTTCCAGAATTAGTCCCCATGGCTGCCTCTGTGTCATGGTTCATGCTTTTCACATCTCTGCACTGACTTTGCACCCATTCCTCCCTGCCAGTGCTGCCATGGGCCTTCAGAGTCCTTGTGGAGTGAACTGAGCTCAGCCCAGAGGAGCCAGCCAGGCCAGGCTCACGGGCCTCTCCTTGAGCCCTGTTCCAGGGCAGCCATGGATAAGGAGGGGAGGAGAGGCCAGCAGGCTGATGGTGCAGGCCCAGCCAGCTTTCCTGTCAGACGGGCGCTGCCAGTACGGAGCCAGACATCGGGAACAGGTTTAACCAATTACCCAAGCGTCCCATCTGCTGTCTGGGGTGTGTGTGAGGGTGTCTGGGAGTGTCTGGGAGGGCTGGGGGCGTGTGTGTGCACATGTGACTGTGTGGGTGTGTGTGGGCAGAAGGCTGTGCACGTGTGCAATGTGGCTCTGGGTCTCGGTCACACCTCCTCATTTGCCAATGAGCTTATCTTCATATCCCTCAAGACCTTGGAGTCTACAACTCTCCTCGGACCCCCAACCTCTCATTTTCAGCTCCCCTCATCATTATTCCCCATATTCAGGGCTCATCACAGCCCAGACCCACACCTTCCCTCAAATCATAAATTCAGATAGCTTCCTTACCAGACCATGAGTCCTTCCCTGCCGTTTGCTGGTCGACCCTCTTCATAGTGCTCTGTCTGATCTCACTGCCAGCCCTCTGTTCTCTCCGTGGCCCCATCAGTCATGCGGCTTGTTCTTAGTTCCTGTTCTCATCCGAACTAAGTTTGACAGCCCCTTGTCCCACTGTTTTTGGGTTGTACTTTTCTGGCCTATTTGAAGTCAAGACCATTTGAACCTGCCTCTCCTTAAGTCCCTAGGATAGCAGGCAAGTGTGCTGGTGGCGCCAGGGTGTCCAGCCTCAGCTGAGCCCACTGTCATTCTCCACAGGAGTGTCTGAAGCTGTTATGTTTCTCCCCAAACTTTTCCTTCCTTTTATTCTCAGCAGAGGTTCTTACTTCCATCTTCACAGAGAAAAGAATGGAGCACCTTTGTAGCAGTGAGAGTCCTGGTGGAAAGAGAGCACCTGAAAATGGGCAGTTGTTGTTGTTGTTAAGTGCCGTAGAGTCGATTCCGACTCATAGCGACCCTGTATAGGATTTCCAAGGAGCAGCTGGTGAGCTTGAACCACGGACCTTGCAGTTCAAACGACTTTGCAGTCTGATGTATTAGCCCACAGTGCCACACCAGGACTCCAAAATGGGTAGTAGGCTAGTGTTTATTAAAGGAGCAGTGGACACATGTTGCAAAACCAACAAGGGATGCTGCAATACCCCTGGACTAAAAACAACGGGGAGTCCTGGTGTGGTAACATAGGATAAGCACTCAACCTCAAGGTTAGTTTGAACCGCAAGATTGGCGGTTGAAACTCACCAGCTGCTCCTTGAAAACCCTATGCATGGTTTTGGTGCAGGGTTGCTATGAGTTGGAATGAACTGGAAGGCATTTAACAACCACACAGTAACAATGGGGAGCCCTTATGGCCAGGAGGCATGAAGATGCAAGGAGGGTAGCTACTAGAAGATAGAAAGGACAGCTGGAGATATCAGAAGGAATAAATACATCAATCTTGTCCTCTCCCAAGTTTCCAATTTCCTGATGATGATGACCCCCACTCCCATAGGGAAAGTCAATATGAGTTAGCACCCCAGGACAGATGTTGTGTTCTGTCAAGTCGGTTCTGACTTATAGCCACTCTGTATAGGGTTAGCAAGAGAAGCTGGTGGGTTTGAACTGCCAACCCTTTGGCTAATTAGACCAGGACAGAAAGCCAGGTGGAAAAAGGTGGAGCGAGGATCTGAGGGTGGAGGCCTGGAAGAGCGTCCCCACTCTCAAACCTCCACTATCTGCGTCCAATGCATTCTCCCAACCTGCCTGCTGATATCACCTGAGCCCTTTCTCTCTTCCTGATTCGACCCCTCCTACCCTGGGGAAGTATATTTCTGGATTGTTTGCCCTCTCTCCTGACTTTACAGCCTCTTCTAACTCTTTCCCATTAGTTTCAACATGCCCCAAAGTCTCTCATCTGATAGAGCCCCTACTTAACTCCATGTTGTAGTCCTTGGGTATTACAAAGAGTTAATGGACTTGGCTGCTAACCAGAAGGTTGGAGCTTCAAGTTCATTCAGAGATACTTTGGAAGGAAGCCCTGACAATCTTCTTAAAAAAAAAAGAAATCTATCATTGAAAACCCTATGGAGTACAGTCTACTCTGCCATACACAGGGTCCCCAGGAGTTAGAATCCTCGACGGCAA